AGTGTGAACGCGCCTATTGTCTAGACGCATTGTCTGGTTCACTTGATACAATGTATACACATCACATTTATGATCAGATCGCGCGCACTCGCTCTACGTGCACTCGCCTAGATGTGCTGCCATATAAAGTTGATAACTCAACAAGCACTATCGCGATTTTGACGACTTTTTTTTACTATCCCGGCGGGATACCAAGCATTGAAATCTGGTATCAAACACAAGAATCTACTATCCCGCGGATATCGGGATACCGCTAATTTCGACCCCTGATCTGTAAGCTGGCAGTGACATGCCACTTAAACAGGCTACCTCTGTCGTGTCTTTAGGTACTTGAGTGATAAAGCGATGCCGCAAAAGTCTCTCTGCCGTCGGTCTCTTCTCAAAGTCCTTAATCAAACACCTGCACAGACAAACAGTTTCAGATGCTGTGCAAACTTATTACAACCTTAAACCGGTTTACGTACAAGAAGACACTTTCACTCGCACATTTTATAATTCGTCAAACAAAACTCTCATTAAAATAAAGCAAGTCAAATCACGCAAATGCCCAATTACTCCGCGTTTACTCACTGTTTAATAAAATCGACAAACGTGGGCGACCAGTCACGCGAGTTCTTCAGACTAGGAGGTGGGTTTCTGGGAATCTTGAACAGTGCCCGCATTGGATGCATGTCAGCCAATGGCGGCTCGCCGTCGGCCATCTCGATGGCGGTTATGCCGAGCGACCAGACGTCGCAGCGTACGTCGTAGCTGTAGTCCAGCTGCTGTTCGCACGCTATCACCTGTCGACGTACATAGCAACGCCGTGTGTATCTAACATCATAGACGATGGCGCTGACACGTCTTATTACAGGATCAAAGCTTGATGTGTCATAGACAATCCAGTTTGTGTGCAATGCTCAAAGGTGCTTGCTCTAACCCTCAACCCTGAATGAATGTCAAATCTTTATAATAATAATTGTACTCTCACTATGGCTATGTACTGCCATTCTCTGTACATTTCACTGACATCGGGCAGAACAATGTTTCTATTTATGGCGTAATTACTCTGAAGCTATGCAACGAAAAGAGCCTTGCTTGGAGGCAGCACTCCCCTTTCATTGTGGGGAACATTGGCCAGTGACAGTCAATAACTTCTGAGGTGAATATTGACTTCTATCATCGTGTTCAGACCTCATTATATATACGCCCAGGGGCAACCATAGGGGAAACACTATAATGCAAATTATGTTCGCTAACAGAAATATACAAGCATATAGTATGCCAAACAGTAAAACCCTTTCCCATGTAGAGGTCGATACAGATGTAGCCTGCGGTTTAAAGAGGAAATCAATTTGTGCTAAAATAGTATCAGCACAAACAGGAAAAAAAAACTATTTTGTGCTTTAAGACAGACGTGATGCAAACGCCTTGTTGAATTATAAAAGTTGCGCTCATCTCTTCAGATGGTAAAAAACATAAATACAAACAGATTTCCACTGTCACTGAAAAACAACTGATCATTTTTGACAGCTGTCAGCCACGGCAAACCACACTTGCTAAAGTATCATCTGAAGGGGGAGGGCACTACACTGACAATAAGCTATCCTGCTCTCTTCTCCAGCTTCACTCTACCCCCCCCCCCTCCACCGTCCTTTACCGACAACATAACAACAAAACCATTGGGCACAGTGACTGCAAGCGATCGCCGACATATCAACGAAAGGAAGCCATTGAGCTCAGCGATGACAAGCGATCGCCAATGACGCACCTCGGGGGCCATCCAAAATGGCGTTCCGACAGACGTGTTGCGTCTGCCCATAGTGTTCTGCAGGTGCGAGGATACGCCGTAGTCAACCAGCTTGATGCGCGCGTCGTCCGTGAACAGGATGTTGTGACCTTTGATGTCCCTGTGGATCACGTGGTGTCGATGGAGATGTTCAAGCACCTGCACACACACGCAAGGCGGCACACTTGAGCTACAGCCACCGGGCTTAACTGTAGCACACCTGAGCTACAGTCACCACGCTTAACTGTAGCACACCTGAGCTACAGCCACCGCGCTTAACTGTAGCACACCTGAGCTACAGCCACCACGCTTAACTGTAGCACACTTGAGCTACAGTCACCGCGCTTACCTGTAGCACACTTAAGCTACAGTTACTGCACCGTTCGACAAACCTTGGGGGTGAACCTGTTGCTCTCCTCCGTTGCTACGGCTGTACCATGTATATTGACACGCGCTTAAGCCTCACATTTTGTGTTCCACCGGCCAAGTAGCCGTCTCGTGGCCGTGTTTCCAATATGTAACTCGAATTTACTACCTTCGTCATTGATGTAGAAATTTTTGACAGATTCACTGCAAATCTGACTTAACGTTATGATTTACAATTCCACCCGTAGTTTGACTGGAGTGGTAATTTCTCCCAAGATCATTGGCTTCAAGCTTCCCTAATCGAAATTAGCTCTGGTTATGCTAGTGTTTGAACCTACGTGATACAGCCAAGGTTAAATGTAGCCTAGATACAATAATGTAACCCAACAATGTAACCCTACTCTTGTTGGGTTACATATTACTGTATCTAGATGTAGCCTAGGTAAGGAAACAGCTGAGGTGTGCTAAGAGGCCACAGCATGAGCTAGACGACAATCAAGGAAGTGTTGAATAATGAATGAGGAGCACGGCTTTAGGAAATGAAATCTGCGTGTTGCTGTGAGATTCGATCTGACAGGAGGTGAACGCGTACACGAGAATATCATTACTTGCTATTGAACCGTATTGTTGAGCTGTACACGCACTTTACAGAATAGACTATTTGTTAAGAGTTTTTATACTGAGCTATGTTTTAAAACGAGTAAACAATTAAACGAATAAGCATGTCTGACAAGTTACGAACCTACCACTACTTGATTGTAATATATGTAAACCAGGGGCAGAATAAATTTGTATTTTTTAAGGGCTACTTTTATTAGAGCCTTGGGGCTATTTTTGAATTTTTTGGGGCTATTTTTTTGTTTTAGGGCCTACTTTTTCGTTGCACGTTGAACTGAATGCATGTTAACATTTTATTACATTTTATTATATTAGACCATTAATGGGATATTGTTGGTGCTACAGGGTTCTTGTTAATAGCCGGTAACCGGTTTTTTTTACCGCCTATCGCGCAATTTGTTACCGGCTATCAATTTTAGAAACTCTCACTAAAGGCGGTAAAATATTTAATCCATATTTGAAAAAAACGAAGTTTATTTTAAATACTTCCAACCCAAGACTAACTCTGTGCACGGGCGGGTTTTTCTTTTTATAATAGATACTTAATATCATATATTTTCCTATCTAAAAAACGAAGTTTATTTTAAATACTTCCAACCCAAGACTAACTCTGTGCACGGGCGGGTTTTTCTTTTTATAATAGATACTTAATAGCATATATTTTCCTATCTAAACTACCAAATTCTAGAACCCATACCCATCAAAATACGCTATTTGTGGGTCATTCTTCGCGCCTTCGCCGCTCGCCCTACCGTCCGTGCCGGAAAAACAGTTACCTGCTATTCATTGTCAAATTACCTGCTTTGTCAAAAGTTAACAAGAACCCTGTGCTATATATTGTATAATAATGTTGTGTCATGATTTATTAATATGTTTGTAATATTTGTAATTTTGTATCCTGTATGTAATTTTCACTGCGACCGCAAAAACTAGCTCAACATTCACCGTACCCCAGGTACAACGTGATAGTCGCATTACCGGTCTTTGGTAATCTTTTACATCAATCATAATTCGTAAACAACATACTGAACTGAGCGCCGTGCTGTGGAAAATAAACACCTTTTTACAAACCGTATCGGTCGAAGACTAGTCATACTGAAGCAAGCGATTAGAATCAGTTGATTCGTATAGCGCTGTAACATATGCAAGCAAAAGCCGATACCTTCATTCCCGTTCCCACTAAGCATTGCGCGTTTATTTACGATAGCTGTAGATCTAAATTAATTCATGTAAAACGGAAAGCTCGCCGAAAGTGAGGTGAACATGTTAATTCTGTATGCAACAGACATTTTGTGAAATTTTCGGAGCAGAGATGAGGGCGACGCTGAAGAAAATGGTCGCCCCAAAGAATTGGGTTTTAAGGATTTTAGGGGGCTATTCGGGCTCCGCCGATGGCGAAATCGCCCGTCGCCCCCGGTTATTTCCGACGCTGATGTAAACAGTTTTAAATGGCTCATAATAATTCAAAAATTAATACGAAAATATAGTGAAACATATTTTCCAACCAAAACATTTAGTCATTACCTTTAACGTATCCTTTAAAATATATGCAATGTAGATTTCCTCCAAATGCTCCTTTCTTCTGAGCAAGTTCTTGACTAGATCTGTGACAGAGCCACCCTCACACAACTGCGAAGCAGACAATACACAGGGTTGTAGCCACAGTACATTTCTACGTGAATTAACAGGAACACAGTGGAGATACTGAATGTAAACAACCAACATTATTACATTAATCAATGTTCTTCTCCTATGCACACACGCACGCACGCACACGCACATGCACACGCACACGCACACGCAACCGCACACATAGCTCAATGTGAACATGCACAAGATATGTTCTAACAGAATGCACAAGAAGAATGTGCGTAGGTATATATGTATAGGTATATAAGCTGTACGTATCACATAAAGTATATTGCTAATCATATCAATTCTGCTGAAGTACTTCTATATATATGGAAATGCTTTTGTGCACATACATACACACCACGAGTACCATATCAAACAAACACACCATTTTGCAATAATTCTGACAACACAGCATCATTCCACACTATGCCACGCCATACCAATGATACCATACTACGTCAAATTACACAAAATACCCTACGGCATTACGCTGATCACATTGATCTTGTACACATTACTGTTTTAACCAGATTTCATAGTGACAACCTTTTATAATGGACTGCGTTGTGTAAATAGTATGTGTAATATTTTCTATACATGCATAACTTGGAAATATATGAGAAATCACGACTAGTGAACCGCTATAATAATAGGCACTATAATAGAGGGCACTATATAACAACCACCAGCACTTATTATGCCGGTGGGGTGGGGGGGGGACAAATGGAAATGTTAAATTTCTGTAGTGCCATATGCACTAGATGAACTTTGGAGATTTTTTTTATATTATCAGAATTCATAATTCGTAAATTTCTACAAATATTCTATCTATGTATATGATTGCGATAAGAATACAGGTAGTGATCCTAGGCTTTAGTCAGAAATAAGGGAATAAATGCCGAGTAAACAAATTTATATCATTGAATACCTGTGAAGTTAATTAAGTTGGTGAAGCGTGAGCAGCAACGCAAACAGACATTACTAGCCTTTCAATGGCAGGTACTAGAAACTAGCTTAATTAGGCAGTCCATGTTGGGTTGGATGTAGTAGGTACACTGTTCATGCCCTTTGGCCATCATTTAGGATATCGGATTCAATGATTGTCGGATGATTCTCGGATTCACATGCAATGATTCTCAGATGATTCTCTGATTCAAAGATTCTCAGAGGATTCTTGGCTGATTCTCGGAGTATAAATTATGATTCGAGACCAATGTTATAAAACAGGGCATGCATATGCGGGCAGAAATTTCCACACTACCGGTGGTTGTTATATAGTGCCCAGCTACAATAATGCAAGTCAACTAGAAAGGGCAGTTGTCGCCAACTACATGTATCCCCCGTGTTCTCCCCAAGATGTGTAAGTATACGAAGTTTGGTCGTGCTAGGTCAATTAGGGGCCGAATTATAGAGCGGAAGGAAAATATGGTCAAGGTCAAGGTCAAATAAAAGCCGCAGTGACCTGGTTTTGGTACGCGACACACATTCTCCCCAAGATGTGTAAGTATAGTTAGTATACCAAGTTTGGTAGCGCTAGGTCAATTAGGGGCAGAGTTATAGAGCGGAAGGGAAATATGATCAAGGTCAAGGTCAAATAAAAGCCGCAGTGACCTGGTTTTGGTACGCGACAC